CCCCCGATCCTCTGGAGGGACAGAGAGGAGGAGAGGGCGGGCACAGCTGGCTCTGCCTCTTGCAGCAGCTGGGTGGATCTTGTCTGGATCTGACCTGGTTGCGGCGCTCTCAGCATATAGTGTTCAATAGCTAGCGCTATACTGAGCTTTGGGTCACGGGAGGAGGTTATTCTATGTCCTCCAATGACCCTAAAGAGAACTATGGGATAAACAGTTTACCCATATCTTTCAAAAAAGAAATATGGGGTAAGGGCTGCTTTAAGCCTTGCAGTACGAGGGTAGCTCCTCTGCAGGAGAATTATTTTTTTTTTGCTTTTGGCCTGGGATAGGCTTTACGATTTACATAAGCTTTAATCTTCAATCAGCTGTGCAGTGATTTTAGTTTTGTATTGAACTTTGCATTGTGCAGTCAGGTACTGATGTTGGACGAGAAGGCCTTGCTCACAGTCTCCACTCTAATTCATCCCAAAGGTGTTCTATCGGGTTGAGGTCAGGACTCTGTGCAGGCCAGTCAAGTTCCTCCACCCCAAACTCGCCAAACACCCCAAATGTCTTTATGGACCTTGCTTTGTGCACTGGTGCGCGGTCATGTTGGAACAGGAAATTCCCAAACTGTTCCCACAAAGTTGGAAGCGTGAAATTGTCTTGGTATGCTGATGCCTTAAGTGTTCCCTTCACTGGAACTAAGGGGCCAAACCCCTGAAAAACAACCCCACACCATAATCCCCCTCCACCAAACTTGGCACAATGCAGTCAGGCAAATACTGTTCTCCTGGCAACCGCAAAACCCAGACAGAGAAGCATAATTTGTCACTCCAGAGAACACGTCTCCACTTCTCTAGAGTCCAGTGGCCGCGTGCTTTACACCACTGCATCCGACACATTGCATTGCACTTGGTGATGTAAGGCTTGAATGCAGCTGCTCGGCCATGGGAACCCATTCCATGAAGCTCTACGTACTGTTGTGCCGATCTGAAGGCCACACGAAGTTTGGAGGTCTGTAGCTATTGACTCCGCAGACAGTTGGTGACTTCTGCGCACTGTGCGCTTCAGCATGCACTGACCCCGCTCTGTCATTTTACATGGCCTACCACTTCGTGGCCGAGTTGCTGCTGTTCCCAGTTGCTTCCACTTTGTTATAATACCACTAACAGTTGACCATGGAATATTTAGTAGCAAGGAAATTTCACAGGAACACCTAAATCCAATGATTTGGAGGGGTGTCCCAATACTTTTGGTAATATATAGTGTATTTCATGAATACATCTTGTATGATAATGCTGTTCCCAGTTGCTTCCACTTTGTTATAATACCACTAACAGTTGACCATGGAATATTTAGTAGCAAGGAAATTTCACAGGAACACCTAAATCCAATGATTTGGAGGGGTGTCCCAATACTTTTGGTAATATATAGTGTATTTCATGAATACATCTTGTATGATAATGTTGGTACATTTCTGTCTGTCAGCAGCATAGATGGAGAAGTCTTGGCCTCATATGTGTGTTCCCACAGGCAGAATTATTTGTCGGCTTGTGTAGCCCCTTAAGGGCAACTTATGTTATGCCTTTCATTTTTCCCTACTGTAATATGAAATCTGATTAGGTGCTGTGGGGGAAACAAAAGACTGAGGAAATTCTTCCCTCTGGCCATATTGATACACGATACCTATAGGGCTACGCTGCGTACTCCGAATCCATTTATGCTGATTTATCCAACATGAAATATTGCTTTTATAGTCTACATCTGGTCAGTCACCTGGATAACATCTCATTTTATTCTTTTTACTGACCAGGATACATTGTGACAGACGACAGAAAGGCAAAGGAGTCTGAGAGAAACAAGTTGGTCCCTCTGTTCTTAGACTGTTAATAAAAATGTCTTGGAAGCTAATTAGAATAGTCAAAGTGTATGTAAACCCAAACTATGAACTTCTCTTATTTGGTTCACTTTGCAGGGTTAAATATACAATTAATAGGTCTGTTCTTTTAAGTATTAAATCTTTTCATTTGATAAGAAATCCAAAGCTGTCCTATGTCATCTCAAAGAGCCATCACTATTATCTTGCACTATGGCACAACAGTCCCTATGGTGTGGAGATAAGAGTTAGGACTTCAGTACTTTAACAATTGCGCAGGGCTGACACCAATTTCTACAAAGTCACTTTACAAAATGGAATGTGAGTGCATTTCTGACAGATCAACTACCGTAATATATATCTGTACTAGCAGGGTCTTTAAAGGGATAAAACCTGATGAAATGTGCACGTACTGCATATGTTCGTTTTAATTTTTTGCCCTTACATAGGCTTTAAGCATGCATTTTTGTTTTTTCTCAACTTTTGGCATTTAGCTGAAATATCAGGTAACAGAGCAGTTGCAGTTGAAATGATTCATATGAAAATACACCACTTACCTGACATGTAATTGCTATGCTCTGGAGTTTCTGCTTTTCTATGATTATTGGCAAGATTCCATTAAGTTAATTTTACTTTATAATTCAACATTTAAAACATACCCTTGGCAAGAAGAAACAGATTAAACATATCTAATTTAATGTTAAAGAATGCTAGTTCTAGTTTATTAGCAACAATTTCTTAAAATGTATTTATAACTTGTGTCCTTTTTCTTACAGGCAACATCAATAAGTGTCATTTGAACTATTATTTCTTTCTGCTGGCTGCTGTGCAGGCAGTGACACTCCTACTTTTCCTCATCATTTCTGTGAAATATGAGCGCCAACAAAGCAAAGCAAATGGAAAGGTGTGAGACGTTAAACATCATGGAGTACGGCGTACTGGTTAGTGGGCAGTATGACTACAAAGTGCTTGCAATGTTCTTCCTGATATGCGTGATGTCTATCTTTAGTGTACACAGTTCAAGTGCCCTTTTTGAAAATGGAGACTTTATTTGAAAGGTCGCTTACTTTGCACTACTTGGATACTGCAGGACTGTTCCAAGCCTCAAAACAAGCACTGAAAATGATCTGCAAACCTGCAGGTATCTACCAAGCTGACTTTTGGGAAGACCTGTGTTAACATTACCATATCTTGTGTTTTTCCAATATCCTATTCTACTACTGGGCTGTTTTGATTGTTGGATAACCTAATACTGATGATGAATTTGCTAGGAATCGCTATAGTTGGCTCATGGTTTTTGGTGCTTTTTGGTTTAATTAAAATTCTCGTAATCAATTATTTTATCTGGATAAATGTCCTTGGATAAAGGAGCCCTACACCACTCCATTTCTGAACAAAGGTATCATAGTAATATGTCAATTTTAGAAGTGCTTCAGCTGAACCAAAACCCTATGACATATCCATTGCAACATCCTGACACTTCCTCAATTATTATATTGTAGGTCCTTCTTATTGGCATAGGCCTACAAGTGAGCCTTGGCGTTGCTTGCGGTAGAGTAAACTGTTTCTTACCAAAAGACTGAAGATTAGGTCAGATTTTGATGTAGGCTGGATAAACTTTGTGTTTTCACTGAAATTGGATTTGGAGCAGATTGAAAAGATAGTTATTTGAAATCTACACCACAGTTCAATTCCTTTGTCTTCTTAATGGCAGTGTTCTCAGTTAAGCAGTAAATTGCCTTTTTGCTTCTTACAGCTGTGTAGTAACATTAGCTTTGCCTGTTCACCTCAGAGTGCCACTATACCTTATATTGATGTTGCTTGTAGGCAAAGGCCCTATGTGCTAGCTGGGACATTTTTACTTTAGAGGTCCACTTTTTTACATCAGAGTAGAAACCTTCTTTAAGATAAAATATTTAAATTTACAGCCATTAAAGGAGAACTATGGGGTAACCTTTTTTTTCACCAAAGTTCTCTTTAGGGTCACGGGAGGACATATACTATTATTCTCTCGTGACCCAAAACTCAGTATATAGCAGGCCAGCTATGCCCGCCCCCTCCCCCGGCCATCCCTCTAGTCAGCGCTGGAGGATCAGAGAGGGGGGGCGGAATCCCTGCGGGGGGCAGTGACTGACAGTAAGTAGTGAGTAAGCGGCGGTATGTGTTCGCTCACTTCCCGATCAATAGAGCTGACGTGTGACAGTTTCAATGTCACACGTTAGCTCTATCTATGATGATGAGTGTAATTCATTTTCCCCATGGTTCTCCTTTTTTAAATCTTGATGAAAATTCAGTTCATGGTATGCAACCCACCCATGTACATATAAGTCCAAAGTGTTCGGCAAAACCGCTCTTTGCTAAAAACTTATTTTCAGCCTATGGAGATAAACTTTTCATTTTTGCCAGTACTCCTCTATGCAGTTTGTGGGGAGACAGGTTCATTTATTCATGGTGTTCTAGTTGTAATGAATCTGTATTCGCTACATGTAACTTTTGGCTACAATTCCTGTATGGCCGGTGTTCTTTTAATGGTTGTGTTCTGTGAAGTGGTCTGTATACTGGCTTAAAGCAGTTTTCCTATCTTTTTAGTATTTGGCATTTGATTTCTACCATGTATTATCTGTTTATTTTCATCAGCAGTAGTAACCTGGTTCATGCTCATCATAGAAATATATCATGGTACTTTTAGTATTCTGCCAATGCAAACATGTGACCAGTGTTGTGCAGACATACTTGGTTATTAAAAAATGCGAAGAACAATATGCAATGTACAATAACCTAGCCGATTTTGTTTTCCCTTTCTCTGATCGGTTTTCAATCGGCTGAAATCGAAATGGTTGGTATCGATCTATTTTGAACATCCTCTTTTTGTGCTTGCATTGTATTTTTTTTAATTGGCCTGTTATTGTGCACAGATGTTCTGTGACGCCACTTGGGGTTTGTTTGAGCACTAGTCTGTTCTTTGTAAGTTCAGCTATACCAAGTTGGTGCTGAAGGTAGGTTTCATGGTACCATAGAGAGAAAAGGCCAGACAATTCACACAGGATCCTAAATACAAGCAGAAGGTCACAGTCCACCCCAAACAATGCTGCACCTTAGCCTGTGCCCCATCAAAGCTCCCCTAAAACACACTCCTGGTTTTATCTACCGGTTACTTCATTGGATCAGTGTCTGGTTCAGCATCATCTATACATTGCTCTACTCCTCAGCAAGTCCTTTGTCAAGACATGGTTAAAAATTAACATTTTGTTATCTTATTTATTCAATGGTCACGGTTCATTTATCTGTTACACATGATGTTCCTTTTTGTACTGAAATAGTTTAGTAATGTAACAATTAATAGTTCTCAATGTTTCTATTTATTTGTAGCAATCATGAAATAAAAAATTGCATTTTTTTTATTTTGTAATGGTCATAACCAGGAAAGTAAATGTGAAAAGTGCCAAGACAATTTATAGCAGGCACATATGATTTTGGAAGGACTTTCTTAACAAGGCTGGCCAGACACTGGATTTCCTACTCCCAGATTGCCACCTTTATGGCCATTCGACAACCTTGTAATGGGGTATGTTTTTAGTGCTTTTTTTGTTTACCTAAATCTGTGCCAAGAAGAAGCTGGTGCTTCTATACAAAACATTTTGGCTTTCAGCCACAGATTTCTGATGTCCTGTTTCATTAATACACAACAATAATTAAATGCATCCACTGGATTAGGGAGGAATAGTCTCGGTGATGGATGCTACTCGCTGATAGTAGAAACACCTTTAAAAGCAAACTTGTTAACCAAAGCTGATTTGTCATGGAAAACCATAAATCCTGTATTCAGGATTCCTATTTGTTAATAACAGCAGCAGCCCTGAACGTGGGTCACTTTTAGGTGGTTACAATTGGCTGTGAGAAGTCAGAAGCAGGGCAGAAATACTTTCTCCATTCTTTAGGGTAAATCTGTAATGTTTGTATAATGCATATTATAAATGTAGAATGTTACTGGCGCCATCATGTGATCATTTTTTAAGTTGTTACTAATATATGCTCCTGTTGGACACTTAACAAATATACAGTAATCATTTGTAAGTGTGATTTGAATAATGCTGAATGTCAGGGTTTTAAAGTGATTTGCTTAAGTCTCTTTTGCACAAAATAATATAAACTGAAAAATGTTTTTTTATTGCTTGGATATGTATATAGAAAAATACATTTTTTTTTGTTTTACCTCATTTCTTGCCTTTTTTTGAGTAGTGACTTTTTTAATGTATTGTCAAAAAAATTAAAATAATTTTCATTTGTAAGTGTTTTTTGTTTTTTTTTTTTTTTTTTTCACACTATATAAAATAATATGTAAGAACAGTCAATTTGAAGCCCAGACTTCTTCTAAGCCTACATCCAGACTGTGTCCTACATTGGAACAGATAGTTGGGTACCTAATTGCTGTTGGACTTAAAACATGGGTATTAGAAAGAAGGTGTTTGAAGTTTTTTTTTATTTTTTTTATTTGACAGTGGAAAAAGGTAAAATAGCTGCTTCTCTACCTAAAGGCACACATCCCAAACTGAAATTTCAGCTTTGTTTGTCTGATCAGAAGATGGAAGGGTTATGCTTATGTAATAAGAGTCAATGCACTCTGTCACACAAATGAAGAGAACACTTAACCCCAACTGTTAACCTAAACCTCTGCCCTCTGAGAGACTCATGTGATCTGCTGCCAACACCCGCAGCCGTTTACAAATAATCACACATGCTACCATTACCTATGAATAGCTGTGGCAGCTGTTGATGGATTATACAGTGCCTCTGGCCCCCAGCAGATAGCATGGGTCTCACTGAGGAATTCATGAGATTTTGTGATCTGGCCCCATTAACAGGTGTGAATGGGGGTTAAACCTTTTTTTTTCCTCTCATCCCAAATTGGCTAGGTAATCAACCAACCATCTCTCTCATCTTACTAGAGAGAGGCTGGGGCCACTCTGAAAACTCTGACGTTTGTCTGAAATACAATTATTCTTTGGCTCCAGTTTCTTAAGTGTTCTGCTCCACATTTGCATTCCCTAGTCCCTAGGGCATCTTTCTCTATTTTGATATCCCCTTTTATGTTAACTGCTTTGCCTATGTTATATGTGTTACATTCTGAATTCACTACTTTTTTTTTTTTGTTTTCTCCGTGACACACTGCAGTGCAAGGCTGCTGGAAGGTGCTTTTGGGGTGTCAGTCAAATGGCAATGCAATGCACCTAGTGCGCAGTATCACATGCTAGGTGTACTGTATCATGCATTTAACGCAAGGTTTTAGTGTGAATGGCCCCTGAGACCATAATTGCTTTACCCCTGCTAAGGCTGCATCTTTTTTCATGGCTTCTGATCCCTTTCCAATTAACATGGCCAGGAAAATGGAACTGACTGCCCGCCAAAGTGACCAAGTTGAAGCCCAATTCCAGCCAAATATTTTTTGTTTTGTTTTTCGATAGAGCAGCGATGGGTTGGAAACTCTGATATTGATTGGTGTCCATGTCCCTATTGTAACATTTTCCCCTAACATTCTCTCAGGGACAGAAAGAGAAACAAAAACACGCTTTTGGTAAGTTGAGTAAGGGTTAGAACTCCTGACAATGTTTTTCTTGCTGCCCGTTCCTTCTCCATGGTGATGACTGCACCCCCATTTCGTGTATAGGCATCATGGTGACAAAGTTATACAGTCTCCACAATGGGGTCAAGGACTGAAAAATAAATGGCTGAAGTCTTTTCAGCTCTATCCACAACTAAAAAAGAAAAAAACAATTTGGTCTGCAGTTGTGGTAACATGGAAGAAACTGCAAATATGGCTCTGTTGTGAGGACTCGGGTCATTTTATAACGAGCTGCAGAAAATGACTTTGCCCTAAGCTGCTGACTTTATGGATTTAGAACTGCTGCACGG